TGAATCAGGGAAAGCAATACTGTGAAGGCAGTCATATCTCCAGTGAAGGCAAAAATGACAGCTTTGTGTTCTTTCCCAATCTATTCCCTTCCCCTCCTCACGCCAGGACTTCCAGTAGAAATAATGGGAGCGGATAGCCTCCTTTTGTTTATCCTTGTAGTAGAAATGCTTCTCAGCTTTGGTGATGTTTGTGTCTCTGATATTTTCTACCGGGTGAAGGGGATTCTTTTCTATTTCTAATTGTGTAAGAGTTTTTGGCTGCTGATTTTGCCATGTTCCCTTCCCCACCTGGTGATCATATGACTTTTATCCTTTAGTGTGTTAATATCAGTTACATTAGATTTTTAACACAAAGCACTTACACTGTGTGGCCCATTCAGACCATCATTTGGTGACTTGCTGTGCTTCGTTCACTGCGCCTTCATGTGTTTTAGTCTTGTCTTCCTGGAGTAGGTCATCCCTTCCATGGGAAGAAGCCACAAATCTTGCTATTCCACTTATGTAATTAGGTATTCCTTTTTTGCCTAATGACTACTCTCAGATATTCATAAAATATTTGAATATTTGAATCAGCTTCTTTGAGCACAGGGAAACCAGCTCTACCCGATGCACCTCTTTCTGGAGTCTTACTGGCTAATTTTTTCATGACTGTCTCTATTTAATTCACTGGCTCAGTGAGTTAACAGCTTTTTTCCCCCCTTCATTCTATAAAGAAAATGATTGAATATAAAACCTAGCTTACATTTTTTTCCCCCCCAGCTTACATCTTAAAAATGTGCTTCTCTGTGCTGGTAATAGAAGAGATATAGGTTATATCCTCAGAAGCTTTTTGTTTTAATTTACAGAATGTGGGTTTTATTATTACTTGAAGCAGTTGTTAAACACATCAGATGGTGTTCTCCACACTAAAACCGTAAGCGATTAAAGACTAAGGCACAACAAAGGGTGAATTTTTTCCTGCCTCCTTGGATTGGAGAGGTCTTCTGACAGCTATGGCTGAGACTAAAATTGGGAAATAAAATGATCAATGTATCTTTATTGTTCAATAATGTATACTTTAGGTTTTCTTGTCAGTGTGTAGCTTTTCTCACCTGAGACCATATAACATTTTTAGGTATTCTTTTAAATGTGCCTTGGCTGGTGTGGCTCAGTGGATTGAGCTCTGGCCTTTGAACCAAAAGGTTGCTGGTTCGATTCCTGGTCAGGGCACATGCCTGGGTTGCAGGCCAGGTCCCCAGTGTGGGGTGTGAGAGGGGCGACCAATCACTGTTTCTCTCACACTGCAATGCATCGTTCCCTCTCTTCCTCCCTCCCTTCCCTGCTCTCTAAAAATAAATAAAATAAAATATATATAAAAAATGCTGGTTATAGCTACATTGGTTAAATAAAATGAGAGATTTTAGATTTCCTAAGCTGTTGTCAGTAAATATGAGAGGACTCCGATTCTGCCAACCTTGGTTTGGGTGTGTCCTTTTTGAAAATGCAAGCTGATGAGTCACTTTCAGATCGGTCGGGTAGTGTTCACTCCGGGCTATTGCCAGGAGCCATCCCAAAGCAAAATCGAGGCTTTCTTGGCTGATTTATACACATAACAGCTTCTTGATTGGGGAAGGGATTGAGCAGCAACTGTTCAGAAGTCAGATTGCTTTAGAGTTGGCTCCCTTCTTTTTGACATAGTGCTTTTCTGTGTTAATAGACAGTGTTGTGACTAACTGCCCGTGAGTCCACCCTCGAGAACTGACAGCGCTTCCCTGGAGCTCTCAGATACAAAGCCAGCCCCTGTCTGAGTGGTCCTCGCTTTTTCACTCCGACATTTCCATGCTTCTAAAACATTTATTTCACCAGGAAACCTTGAAGTTGTCCTTGGCTTCCTCAGTTATATCTCCTGTTGCTGATATTTCACCAAATCTTACTGATTTTTTTATGGTTTTGAGACGTACTTTACATCTTATAATTCACCCATTTCCCATGCAGGGTAACGGTTTTTAAGATGACTGTAGAGTTGTGCAGCCGTCTTCACTACTGATTTTATATCCGACATTTCATTGCCTCTGAGAGAAACCACATGCCCATTAGCGTTCACTTCTCATTCCTCTCTTCGCCCCCAGCCCTGGACAGTCACTAGTTTATTTTGTTTGTCTACGGATTTGACTATTCTGGACGTTTCCTTTAAATGGAATCATTTGATATGTGGTCTTTTATGACTGCCTTTCACTTAGCATGTTTTCAAGGTTCATATATGCCATAGTATGAATCAGTACTTCATTCCATTTTATGGTTGATTAATATTACATTGTATGGACGTACCACATCTTGTTAACCCATTCACCAGTGGATGGACATTTGGGTTGTTTCTGCCTTTGGGCTATTACAAACAGTCTTCCTGTGAACATTCGTGTGCAGTTTTGTGTGTGCATGTATTTTTCAGTTCTCTTGGGTGTATGCCCTGAAGTGGAATTACAGCATCATATGGTAACTCTGTCAGTTGCCAGACTGTTTTCAAAAGTGGCTGCCCCATTTTACATTCCCACCAGCAATGTAGGAAGCTTCCAGTTTCTCCACATCCTCGCCCACACTTGTTCATCTTTTCAGTTAAAGTCACCCTAGTAGTGGGTGTCTCGTGGCACCTCATCATAAAAATATGATTTGCGTTTTCTTAATGACTAATAACATTGAGCATCTTCTCATTTGCTTTTTGGCCATTTATTTGCATATCTTCTTTGGAGAAGTTCAAATCTGTTGCCTCTTTTTAAACTGGGTAATTTTTCTTTTTATCATTCAGCCCTAAGAATTCCTTATATATTCTGTATAAAAGTCTCTTATCAGATACGTGATTTACAAATATTTTATTCCAGGCTCTGGGTTGTCTTTTCACTTTCTTGATGGTAGTCTTTGAAATATAAACATTTAACTTTGATGAAGTTTAATTTATCGATTTTTTTGTCACTTGAGCCTTTGGTGGCATATCTGAGAAAACCATTGCCTGCCCCAACGTCATGAAGATTTACTGCTTTGTTTTCTCCTAAGAGATTTATAATTTTAGCTCTTGTATTTAGGTCTTTTTAAGCTAAGTTTTGTTTATGATGTGAAGTAAGGTCCAACTTCACTGTTTTGCGTGTGGATACCCCCCTGTCTCAGCATCATTTTTTGAAACCATTAAATGTCTTGCCCTGGCTGTCATGGCTCAGTTGGTTGGGCGTTGTCCCACAAAGTGAAAGGTCACCATTCAGTACCCAGTCAGGACACATACCTGGGTTGGGGAGTGTGTGGAAGGTGACTAATTGATGTTTCTCTCTCACCTCGATGTTTCTCTCCCTTTCTCTCTCCCTCCCTTTCCCTGGCTCTAAAAAGAAAAAATGAAAAAAAAGAAACCACTGGATGTCTTAACACCCTTGTGGAAAATTGCTTGACCACAGATGTAAAGGCTTATTCCTGGACCCTCCATTCTGTTTCATTGATCTTCATTGATTTTAAGGAAAAAAAAAACCCCGTTCATTCATGTTTGCTTGCTACTTTCTCTGCAGGGAAAACTGGGGGAGGGGGCTCATGTGATGTGGAAGGGGTCGTGGGGACAGCATCGAACCTTCTAGATGGACTGCTGATTAGACTCCCAGTCTTGGCCTGGAAGATAATGATGTGTCCTTGGCCTCCAGAGAGGTTACAGGCTCATTCCAGACCTTCTGTCATCTGGCTCCTGGCCAGCTTCTCAGACTAATGTCACCATTTTTCAGATTCAGATTCTATTTATTTAGATTAAAATTTTTTTTTCTGTCTAAACTTGCCTATGGAATATCCCATGAACATGTGAGTGCTTTTTGGACTTCATGTGTTCTTTCCCAAAATTTCGCTTCGTGGGCAAATTTATCTGCTTATGTTGTGTATTGAATTTTACGGAGTCCCGTTGGTAGACCTGGCAGTATTCTGAAACTGGAATTGGATGTGACTTGTCTAGAGGCCCGCAGTTTTTGTTTTATTTTGTGTTTGTAAATAACTGCTATATTTTAATGCACCCTGATGTCTGATAAAGTTGCCAAAGTGAAGTCATATTAGATACACCATATCTATTTTGAGATACCACGGTAATAGCCAGGAATCCTAGAATGTTGGAACTGGAAGGAACGTTGTTAGTTTAATGTTTTTATAAATTAGGAACTTCAAATCAGCAAAACTCCAAAGAGATTAAGTTTCTTGTCTCAGGGTACAGTTAGATGATGGTAGAACCAGAACTCTAGGTTTTTTTTTGGTTTTTGTTTTTTCGTGAGTGAAAAATTTTCAACCCTATATTCTTTTTGTTTGGTGCAGAACTAACATTCTCAGTTGGCCTCCCTGCCGCCACCCTTTCCTTTTAAGCACATTTAATACTCTTTCTGGTTTGGAAAACGTCTGTCTACCTAGTTTCAACCCATAGGAGTGAAAAAAAAAAATCTTTTTTTTTTTTAATTGATTTTAGAGAGCAAGAGAAAGGGTGGAGAGGGAAAGGCAGGGGGAGAGAGAGTGCAAGAGAAACATTGCTTTGTTGTTCCACTTATTTATGCATTCATTGGTTGATTCTTGTATGTACCCTGACCAGGGATTGAACCCACAACTTTGGTGTATCAGGATGCGCTCAAATCGACTTAGCTGTCCAGCCAGGGCCAATCTTTTTGCTTCTTAGTGACCTCTCCTTGATAAAAATTCTATTTCACAAGATGTGTCTGATTAATGAAATGATCAGAAAGTATTCTATGATTAGAGACCATAGCCTCTTCTATGCTTCTTAATTTACTAATAAACCATTTTAAATTATGCGTTTGGTGTTTAAAGCTTAGTAAAGCTTAAAGTTTATTTTATAGAAGCAAGATGTGAATTTCACATTGTGCACTGTTCAGCCCTCGACTGGACCCTGGGGTCTGCTGACTATGCTTAATTCCTTAGGAGAACATTGTCTGTATTGTTTGGTTTGGCTTCATATGGCGCTGAGCTTAGTATCCAGTGTAACTCTTCCTGTTCTATTCTTTCAGCTTGGATTTACTTTTGGCAACCTGGTTGGAATGTATCTGGCTCAGAATTATGATGTAAGTGACCATATTCACTTTCTCCATGATCCCTTGTAATTGATTTGTAGTGACTTGTCTTTGTTGAAGTACGGCGTGCCTTCCAGCGGAGATGGGGTCCACAGATCTGAGAGAAAAGCCCTGAGTTTTGTAGAAAGATTTTCCAAAGTCATGGAAGCATCTGTCCTTCATAACTCTACAGGGGGGCACAATCCCTTCACTTCAGGTGGTCTCATGGTGATACCAAGCCATGTTTGTTAGACCAGAGTAATGTTAAGTTAGATTCTTACAGTTCTATGGCATATTGTGTGATAAGCAAGAATTTAAAGATTAATGGGATAATCTTTTCAGTCCCCATACCCAGGAGTGGAGATGACTGAGAATTTTGGAGGTGGAGCTATATAATGCAGCATATCCAAGGGGGCAGAGTTTTGCAACGTGGGCGTTGTATTAGCCTCACTTTATAGATGGGGAAGTTGAAAACCAGGTGGCCAACTGCCCATGAATGGTGATTCTGGAAAGATAATGCGTGTTTTAAAGAGACAAGGAAGGGGAACATGATATTAACTTCTGTAGTGAAGCTTTTAGTGTGACAAAGGGAGTTCCCTCTGTCAGCCTTCACTTGAATCATGTGCTTGTCTGGGCAAGGGCTTTATCAGCGTGCACCACATTTCTTGTTTCTGTGTGCGACTTTTCGGCCCTGGGCTGAGGAGCTGAGGGGGTGTACGAAAGTCAAAGGCGGGGTCTGGCTTTCAGGGAGGGAGCATCCGCTAACTTACGTCTGAGATCCCCCTTCCGCAGTTAGGAGGCCCAAACCACTACTATTTAGCAGGTCTCTTTCAGAGGGAAATAAGCACTTGTACAATCACCCTTTATCTCTGGAGGAAGAGAAGTGAAAGAATATTGGTTAGACAAATGCAAAGTTGTGATAATCTCTTTTCTCTTTAAAGATACCAAACCTGGCTAAAAAACTTGAAGAAATTAAAAAGGACTTGGATGCCAAGAAGAAGCCCCCTAATCCGTGAGGCCCATGGCAGCACTGCCCCGGGAGTCCTGAGGCTGCCCTCCCCCCGGCCCCTCCGCCACCCAAACCGAAGGCCTGCGTCCCACTGCGCTCCAGCCTCCGCCTCTGCTCGACCCCGCGTGGCCTTTGAGCACACATGGGGCCACACGTTAAGAACTGTCCTTACTCTTCCAGCATCCTCACCTCCTCCTCTCCTCCTTCCAGTTGCTTGAGAGGTCCTCAGGCTGGAATTATGGTGCTAGATTAGTAAACATGGCCTTTAATTAGTGGTCTCTCCCTTATTCTTTGGGACTTCTACTGCCTTTTTTCATAAGAAAACTTGCTGAGTTTTATATAGGTGATCAGATAGGAATAATGCTGATTTCACAGTTTAGCGATTATACTGGGTATCGAAGCATTTGGTACTAAATTATGTTTTTTCAAGGTCATTAAAATTAAAATCTAAAAGCCAGTTTCTGGTGAATTATCCATTTATTTTATACTGTTCTCAGTATAACTGACATACATAACTCCATAGTTGCTAATTTAACCAATAAGTCAATTTGCTCCTCATCAACTAAGAAACTGCATTCTGAGAACCCTATCAGAAACTGGGGAATTAAAAAATATGTAAAGTAATGGCCTTTGTCCTCAGTAGATGTCATAGTCTAGTATGTGTGTTTTCCCTTAATGATATATTTGATCTGGCGCTTTTCCCTCAAAACAAGAATACTTATTTTAAGGGATTATAGGTACAGTTGACATTACATGATGAATAAATGATGCCTTTTCACATTAAAAAATATATTTACATTATAACTTTATAGTGATTCTCACAAGAAAACTTTTTTCCCCTGCAATCAGAAATTATCATCATAATCTGTCAAATGTATATTCAGTCCATTTTTAAAAGTTAAACAAAAATGTTTGACTATATCAGTTTCCTGAAAGTGATTCAGAATAAAGGACCTCCCCCACCGCACAGCTCCGAGGTCCTCTTCCCGGGGGCAGGCACTGTCCCCTGCAGACTGTCCGCTTCTGGGAACGATTCTGCGCCTGAACAAACACGTGTGCAGTGGGGCTTTTTGCCCGAATGATAGCGACTGTACGTACTCTTTGCCTTGACCTTTTTTTTTCCATTCCATATCAGTATGTAAGGAATAGGGAATCTCTTTCCTTTCTGGGCTGTGTAAGATTTGATTGAATGACTATGCCATAATTTATGTAATCTCTTACTGATGAATAGTTAGGTTGCTTCCTGTCTCTTGCTGTTAACATTGATAACCCTGAAACTTATGTTATTCTACAGATCCAGGCAGGGCGTAGTCATAAGCTAATGCCCTAAACCTGTAATTTGCACTAAATGTGAGTAAAGTCCCATTCATTGTGTGTTTTTGTTTGGGAGGGCCTGTTGGGCAGCTTCACTGGTAATGCCATTTCTGAGGACACTTTAGCAGAATCAGTAAACTGGAAGATTATTTAGAGACACCTTGTTCCACACAGTGATGACGCCGATACTACATATACTTATAAAATGGAGTGATTCTGCTTCTCCTTGAAAACATGCAGCTCTCTGCGTGGAGGTGTGATTTATCCATCCGCCATCCTGGTGTGTGAGACGGAGTAGGGGCATACTAGGGTTTGGCTTCCCTCCAGCAGGGTGATCATGGGCAAACAGCTTATTTTTCTGAGACCGTTTTATTCTCTGTAATATCTGGACGCAATACCTACCTCAAAGGGCTTCCATGAGAAACGACTGAGATAATGTATGTGACACACAGTGCTTTGCAGACTTGCCCAATAAATGGTAGATCTTAGTTCAAACACGCTGCTTTTGGTGAGCATATTTTTGTTTCTCTGCAGTTTCTTTTGGAACCAGTTTATGAACCATGCAAAATTTGTCATTATTCTGTGGTCACTCTGTTGGTTGCTGATGAAAATCGTCCATACCTATCTTGATCACACCACCTGGCTCACAAGATTTGATCTGAAATGACTGAATTGTCAGCAGAATGAATTACAGCCTTGAAGAATAAAGCTTTACCCACCCCTGAGGGTATTCCAACCACTACAAGCTTGGGTGTTCCTTGTTATCAGTCATGGTAGCCTCGTTATTGGCGTGTGTCTCCCAGAGTGGCTTCTTTGGGGAGGAAGGTCACTTAGATGTTAGGAGAAGATCTCTCTATATCATACCTTGTAAACAAAGCTCATTTGGAAATTAGGGCTTCCCTCAGGAATGATGCTTCACGTCACTGATAGGGTCACTTCTGCGGGTGGGAGCCACCCAGCTGTTCCACAGTGAACACAGGCTGACTTAGTGGGCGCCGGTCACACACCCTCTTCTGGTTGGAAGTTTCTGCAGCAGTGAACAGGCAATCGGACTTCTCAGGCAAGATCACCTTCCCTGAATTGCAAGAGGACCTTGGAGCCAGTAGATGTTAGGGCGTAGCTGTGGGTGGGGTGGCAGCGAGTGTGATAGAGGAAGTTACATTTTTCCTGGGTGTTTCGTAGGGACCCTTGCCTCACAAACCAACAGAATCATGGGAAGAAGCACTGCAAGACATGCCTTTGTTTCCTTTAAAAATGTTAAAAAACTTCCGTTGCTGTGTCTTAAGAAAACTTACTGCTACACTGGACCATAGAGGGAAGGTTACTCAAAATGCTACTGAGGGTTATTCACAAGTGAAAAGTAAAACTTCAGGGTTGATGTTGGAAACCTAAGAAATACACTGAACTTGAAAAGTTTATCCTTAAACTGTATCCCTCCCAAACAAAGGGAGAGAAAAGCCAAAACCACCTTGTTTAAAATCATCAAGAGGGGATACAGTTTGTTACTGTATGTATTTTAGTTACTTGCTGTCTTAATAGACTACCTCTGATTTAGTATTTTGTGCAATTCAGCAGTTACCTGCTTCTAAATGAAAGGCAGAATTTTGCTTCTTTTTGTAACTCATTTACCCAGTTTTCATTTGTATGACTACAAAGTTGTGTGTTTTTCTAGTTGCCTGCGCGTAGGGGTTCCTAGAGCATATATACACATGCATGATGTTTTCCTTTCCACTGAGCGGCTCACGCCCCAGACACGGCTGTGTTTGTTTTCCACCGAGGCCTCCCGCATTTCAATGCTCTTTCTGTTACTCTTCCCGGAGGAGCACTGTATACTGTACTGGAGCAAGTGAGGCTTTTCTTAAATTTCCCATCTTGGACTTTGCACATAGCATTTCCATTCCTTATGCAGATGAATAAGTTCTTTTTTCCCCCTGCTATTAAGGCCTTGTGGAAAGGAACAGGGTGGTGGAGGGAAAATATTTTGAGACATTGCCTGGTTTTAATAGGGGAGTCAGTGACATTTAGATTTTCAAATGTTCGCTTTATACCTTTCCTAAAACTGGGTGCAACATACTGAGCCACATATTGAGGAGCTCATGGATGGCATGTTTTGCACGGCAGGGGGAGACAAGAACAAGCTGGGGCCGGTGGGAAGTGCACGGGGAGGGCCCAGCCCCAGGTCCTGGGCCTGCTTGAACCGTTGCCTCTGTGGTGAGGCCTGAGGAAGGGCGCAGTGCGGGGGCGTCGTTCTGACACTGGATGGTCCCGCAGGATGGGGACGTGGGCGAGGGGCCATGCGCGGGATGAACTACCTGTGAGCCCGGGTGGTCTCCACTCCCTCTGTGTATTTGTGGTTTGAACATCTTGCCATACTGGGGATTCTCGTGTTCAGATACACTTCTTCAAATACAGGCCGAATGTGAAGACAACTACTTTATTTGGTATGCAGCTGAAGAAACAGGGATCTAGTCTGACATTGGAGGGAAAAGAAGCAATTTTTTAAATTTATTAAAAGATGGCACATGAGTCTTTGTGCCGTGTAAATGTAATGGAAAAGATTGTATACCATGCACGTCATGGGCAACTTAAAGGAAATTTAAGGGCAACTTTGACTAAGCAAATTTGATACATAATTGATGAGAATAAGATGCAAGAGTACTTACAGAGTCTTTGTTTCTCATTTTCGCCATCTGTCAAGTGAGCTGGTAAAAGTTAATAATGCACAGCTTTTCCATCTGTATATTGTGATAGAAGATAGAAATCATAATACACTTGCAACAGACACAAGACTACTAAGGGGAGCTCTTAATACCCACTGTGGAGTTGTGTTAGATGACCAGGAGGCGCTCGTCACTGCAGTGAGCGGTCCTGGTGGGCCCGGCCCTGGTTAGGGCAGAGAACAGGGCTGTTCCGTAGAACGGTCAGTAGACCAGGCTGAACCAAATGCTCTGTCTCAAGCGGCAGGTTGGGTGCCTTAGCTCCTCGGAGCGCCTGGCAGCAGCTGCCGTGGGGAGTCACACTGCTTTCCCTGCGGGATGAGCCCGGTTCTCGAAGAGCTGAACAGTGGCCAGTAATTCCAAGTCAGCTTTCCTTTCTCTTTTTAGTTATTTATACCCCCAGAATCTTACCAGTTATCTGCACCTTTGCCTTACTGTCTGAATTAGGGGCTTGTTGTCTCAGTTCTGTAATGGATCAGCCCTTCAAGGACACTCCTGATTGGAGGAGGAGCACCCTGGCTCTTCTGAGCACCTAGAGCAAAACAGCCGTGGAGAGGCAGGCTCGATCCGGCCAGCTCTGGTTCCCTAATGCTGCTATTTTAGGTGGGATCATGAGGTCATCACTTTTATACATGGCCAGTAATTGGGCCTAAGCTCATTGACAGGGCAGAGACAGTAATATTGCTGGTGAAATCTGGTCAATCATACGCTGTGGTCAGAGCAGGAAAGTGACGACCAGCACGAAAGGAATTTGACAGTTCACAGATACGTGCTAAACCAACCGAGTGACTTCACTGATAAATTACTATGGAAAAACGGCACATGTCTTAAAATCATTAAAACGATGTAGTAATTATGGGGCAGCCCTTTCCCCATAAGGGTATTTAGTAAGTAACTGGTGGTTGAAATCAGAAATATACAACGCCAGGAAACGGGGGTGGGGGGTTTGGGAGCTCTGAGGGGGTAGCCCCCCAAAACTGCGGCATTATCTTCTGGAGGGCGGGCCCCTGTAGTACAGGCTTCCCCCGCTGTGTGAGTGTTCTAGGAGCCCCCCTGTGTCAGGGCACCAGCCGGTGCTGGTGTGAGAGGCTGCGTTCGGCTTCAGGGAAATTGTTCTTTTGAAGGCTCGTTCAGCGCATTTGCCCATTTCACGATGGGTGACATATGAGCCCACCCGCCCACACCGCGCTGTGTTCAGCAGCTTTTGACCAAAAATAACATCACCCCATGTCCCACCCTCCCTACTCATCCAGCCTCACCCTCAGCAACCCTTTTTGTTTCCCTGGATGAACAAAGTCCCCAAAGGGAAAGATTTCGCCAATGTGGAAGAGGTGGAACAAAATACGGCAGAAGCACTAAAAGGCCTCACAATTGGCAAGTTCAGAAACTATTTTGAGCAGTGGAGAAAAGTCTCAGTAGGTGTATTGCATCAAACAGAACTTTGAAGGTGACTGAAGCTTAAACATGTAAGAATAAATACACAATTTATTATAAATAAATTCCATTTTTTGGAGGGGGTCTCCCTTCATATATCCAGTCCTATAGCAAGGACATCTGCCCTGGAGAAAATGGCAGGGTTTTCAAGAGGAAGAAGGAGGCTTTGATTTCTAAAGTGATTTTTCTCAAGGAAACATTTATTGAGCAGTTACAGTTTACTATATTGTGTAAGTTGCTGGGGACTTTCAGAGACATAAGGCATCTCCTCTCCCCTCAAAGGGCTCATCGACTTGTAGAAATTGACTGTTGGGTTCGGCCCTCTCTGTACTTGCCTTCTCAGGAACGAACTACCCATAACATTCAGAAGAAAGCCAGTCACGTATCCACAGTGCTGCGGTCTTAATTACGGTTTTGGCCTCCTTAATAAGACAGGTAGGAAAACCTTCCCTCCCTCCCAACACTCAGCCAACACCGTGGTATTGATGGTTCATGATGTGTGAAGAGAGGATGCTAATCACAACGTGTCTTCTTTCTCTACTTCCTTTTCCTTTGACAGAGAGAACAGCACCGGCCTTTTTCGAAAGGGGAACAGTATTTCTTTTTAGGAATGTGGTGCTGAGGTAAAGAGAAGCCATTGAAGAGAGATGCTTAAAAGGGAATCAGACTAGTGAGAAAAGAGTTTGGACTGCCCCAAACAGGACTTACTAAGAATCGCCTTTCTGTGGCGAGAACTTAGGACAGAAACGCTTCAGAGAAAGGAGCTGACGTGAGGTCTCAAGTTCTCGGTGAGGTTTTCCTACAAAAGAGATGTCACTGGTTTCACTATCTGTGCGTAGGCAGGATGATTTGGGGTCCTTCTTCCACTCCGACAAAGGGACTGAGAAGTGAAGAGTAACATCAAACCTAGGGAGGCTAGGCAGCGCGTGAGGCCCAGCCTCTGAGGGGTGGCTACGCAGGTGTGCGCCTCTTCTGTCGTCGGAAAGGATGGATAGCAGAGACTAGATGCAAAGAAGTGAGGAGGCGGTCAGTTTTCTTGAGCTCTGGTTGTGTGCGGGAGGCATCCTGCCCTGCACTTGAGGCAGCGGTAGGTGGAGGAACCTCTGGTGGGGGTCGCGTGCTCCTGGCATTCCCTTGGCCTGTCCGTCGGTCAGCTGCTGGGGGCTGGCCGCGCCCTGGGCTGGCTGCCTGCCCGCCTGCGTTAGGCCTGATCAGTGATGTTACTGACCTTGGCCCAGGCTGGAAAAGTGTCCAGGTCGAAGAGGCTAACTCCCCATGTATTGATAGCCACCGTCACTATCACCAGGCCAATGACGTTGACCCCCAGGCCAGCTTTCACCTGCA